TAGGTATTGAAAAAAATCGAAAATAGAATACCCCCTTAAGAACATATCCTTCAGGGATTTTTAAAAATTAAAAGTATTTTAATATCTACAGTTACTTTAGTGACGCAGTACATAGCCCGGTAGGTAGGTAGACTCACTTTTTAAACATGTTTTCTCGAAACTACTTTTTTACACACGGTACCGGCATTATCTCAAGTTCTATTCAACCGATTTACTTGAAATTTTGTGTGAACCTTCTTTATATAATCCTTTATCCTTTATATTTATATAATCCTTAATCCTTTGTTTTTAATATTTAAAAAAAATTCAGGAATTTCAAAAAAAGTGTAAAAAATGATTTTTATTTCCAAGCAGTCGCCATTCTTCAAAAAAATTTTTTTTCGTGTTCCCTGAAATAGGGACAGCATCCTTGCTGATTAAGAATTTCTTTTGGTTTTTTTTTCATACCACCATGAGATTAAGGATCAATGTCACCAGGATGCGCCATTTTTTTACACCTGTCTCTGCCCCCCTCTAATTATTTGAATTTTTAATATTTTTTTGTAAAATTTTTTTTCTGTATTCTTAATATATCAATAAAAACGCCATAAAAAACTGGATGGTAAAAATATTTATATTTATAGTAGAATACCCACTTAACGCCTTTGGTAGAGCTTATATCAAATACATCTAATTTTAGTTGATAAAGTTGTCGTATTCCAGCAATTTCATCCATAGAAGGTACATAATATTATCCTGGAAGCCTAATATTACAAAGCGAAAATGGCGAAGTCGGATTACAATCACGAAAATTTCTTATATAACACGATTCCATCGGACTTATGCTTTACAATATACAAATCAAACACCATTTGATTTAAGGATATATGCTTTGTTATTGGGTAAGTGAATTCCCATATTACTTGACCTAAATCGTAGTCCACTAATAAAATCAAGCATTGATTCCAACCCAGTCCGGGAGGAAGTTTTTTGCTGCGTTTACGCCATAAGGCTACATTGAAACGCCACGTCAGTGAGGTGGAATACATGCAATGGATTAAGCCATCTTAAGACCTGCTCAAGCCTTAAGACTCATGAGAGAGGACCACAAGTTACTGCAACGGAATCCAGAATAAGATTGAAGAGATAGTTGTACTAACGAATCGGGAAAGCGTATCGATAGCTGCGGTCCAAGAAAGCACTCTAAACAACCGCTCAGATCTTCTCATTGGTGGCGGTTTCAACGTAACACGTAAAGATCGCGAGCGAGAAAATGGTGGAGGCTTAGCCTTCATATTGCACAACACTGCGCAATATCGTCTAATCGATGAAAACATCGACTGCAGGGTTACTACCCTACAATATCAGGGTATAGCTCTCTGGTCAAGCGATGTCGAGTTGGAAACATTTAATATGTATATCCCCGCAGTTGATGCCCCAATATCGGTGCGCTACTTTGTGGTGAAACCCGTTAGGTACTAGGCGACTTTACCGCGCACCATGGTCCTTACCATTCCTGCGTGTCAAACGATCGTAGGGGTATGGAGCTGACAGAACAGATAGGCTATTCAACATTTTGTACAATAAATGATGAAGCCTCCACCAGAATTATGGGTACCTGTAAAATCTGGTGGTCTGATAAATAGCATATCCTCTCGCATCAGACCATTTGTTCGAAATTATCTCGATCGAGAAGCCTCCCGCCTTTATGTCTATGAAAAATTGCACTTTCGTTTACTTTAGTAAAGCTAACTGCGTTGGCTTCACAGAACTTACCGAGAGCATCTTCACTGTTGTACCCATTCTTACGGACGTAATCGTTGGCGAACGTCGATTTCGCAAGGTCATCGCAGCACCTACCGCTAGCTTCATCCTGATCCCGTCCTAATTTCCTAGCCGAAGCAGTTGTTTCAGCTAACGAGCGATACAACTTACGCCATGCCGATTCCGGTGATCTCCGAATAAAGGCTCTCAATTTGGAGATTCGGCAAATGGTAAATCAACACAAGCGGACGAAATGGATAGAGAACTTGAAATCTTATCCTCTCCACCAGCGCGAGTATGCTTTGGAATAATGTGTAGGCTTTATCTGATCCAAAGAGACATCATGACCGATTTGAGATTCCATGGAATGGACCGAGGAAGGGTGCGATCTATTTTAGTCGGCAATTTACGCTGCACCTTTCGGTAGACAAAACTGCGGGCCACTTAATTTCACAGATGAAGAGGTTCAGATTACCACCAACAACGAAATCGTCCATTGGTCCTGATGGAATCTACTTGCTTATGCTAAAGCATCTGCGGAAGTTCTATCGTCCGATAATTCTCCTCTCCCTTGTAGTGAAGACACTTGAGACCTTGTTACTACCGACTTTCGCTCACCACCTGAGCCTAGTTAACCTCCAGCATGCATTACGAAAAGTCCACAACACCACCACAGCACTTAGCATCATAAACACTCGAATAGTTCGTTGCCTCAACCACTGAACAAAATACGCTTCCTCCAGGACTGAAGAGGTGGACCATGAACTACCTGTCGCTAATCATACGTTCTTTTTCGAAGAGAAAAATCCAAACTGCGAAGCATTAAACAAAGGGTTCCGCAGAGGGGTGTCCTCTCCACTCTCCTGTTTAACTTCTACGTCTCGAAACTCGCACGATCACCACAGGGAGCTTCTATAACCTTGTACGCTGATGATGGCACGATATTGACGTCGGGCAATGGAATCAATGGCAAGAATTCAAAGGTAAACGGCTATATTCTGAGCTTTCTCGCTTCTTCTCTGCACGGAACTTACCACTCTCCCCCACCAAATCCACGGCGACCATATTTACGAACTGGACGAAGGACTACAGACTTAATATTGCAGTTCATGCCCTAAGATTTTAGATGTAACTTTTGATAGTATATGTTCCTTCACTTCTCATCCGACCGCGACTATCTCCAAGATAGCTTGCTACAGAGCCGCAGCAAAATCCTCAAGTCGCTAGCCGCCAACACATGAGAAAAGGTCAAAGAAACTAACGCAGGTGAAGAAGCTTCAGACTTGTCAGAACACTGCACTCCGGACTACGGCAAGATGCCTCTTGATGTCTCCCACGGTCATTCGCAGCGGAGCCATCAACACCTTCACCGACACCTTTCCAATGAATGGTGTTGTTGGAGTCAATCTACAATTGAGAGTGACCCTTTGGCAGCTTCTTTCTGGATATTATAGCAGGCTAAATTCCTAATTATCCAGAATAGACCCCGACATATCAAGCACATGTCCTGCGTGTAATAAATCTCTGGATGACACTGGCCACCTCTTTGCATGCCTCCAACCCGACTCATCTAACGCCCCTTTCCCTTAAGTCCGACCCCATTGAAACAGCATGTTGCTTTGGCCTCCCATCACAAGACGTCGACGTCAACCTGGATAATCCTTACCATCCTAACGGGGATTAGATAACCGTTAGAACAACCACAACAAGATTAAACTTTCGGCAAACAGTGCGTTTGAATTGCAGCTCTTCAGCAATAGAAGTCAAAACTTATTGCTGAGTTCAATTTGTAAGATATATATGTTAAACATATTTTTCCCGAAAATAATATGTTCCTGTGCTAAAACTGTAGCAAAATCGGATCAGTATTTACCCTAACCGCCAATTACTTAATATATGAATTCACAAATTTCCCTGAACTTACTTTTTAAGATACTACTGTGGGCAAAAATTTCTTAGACTTTTGAATTTAAAATTCGAGCGAAAACATATTCGCCGGAATATATTTTTTTTTCTAGGCTGATATGATTGTCAGTGACACCTGTGTCAAATGTCACATCAAAATAAAGATTAATGTTCAGTATATGCTTTTCTTTCTGAAGTACATAAAGTACATTCGGCGATATTTATGATGAGTGAAATATTTCGACAAAGTGTCATTAAATCATCAGTGACACCTGTGTGAAATGTCATATCAAAATAAAGATTAGTGTTCAGTATACGCTTTTATTTCTGAAGTACATAAAGTACATTCGGCGGTATTTATGATGAGTGAAATGCTTCAACAAAGTGTCATTAACTTTTGTGCACGGAATCAAATTTCTGGTACCAAAATGTTCACAATATTGGAATAGATCTTCGGTGACAGTTTTTGTCGGGTTTTTGATTGGTACAAATTATTTATTATTTAAAGAGCGTCGAGAAGCTCCGGGAAAAGCGTGTTTAGTTTATTGAAGACATTAAACATGAATCATTGAAGGTTATTTCGGAATTTTTTTTGCTCATGCATTTATGACGAATATATTGGTAAAAATTGTGACATAACTGAAAAACTTGGGTTTCTGCCTGTGTTATATTGCAAATGAAAATATTGAAAAGTAATAATATTAAAGCGTGAAAATTATTTTATATTCAATTCTTGTGCAAATTTTGCCTCTGCTATTTTATATAAATTTTTCTTAGTATTTTCCCCTTTTTTAATTTCAAGTTTCGTACTTTTCTTACTATGTGTAAAAGTTTTAGAAATTTTGAAAATCAAGAGCACAGAAAAATGTTTTGCGAGAAACAAATTTTTGAATGCAAATTTTGGATGGAATAACATAATAATATATTTGCGTAATGGGAATTTAAATTTTCTATTTACGCCTGTGAACATTTACCGTTGATGATATTGTTTATACTTAAAAAATGTATTCCCCGTGTATATCTTGATCGATGCTTAAAACGGTACCTATCCATAGATAAATGTAATTTCTTCCAAACCAAGTTTTTTACTACAGAGTATTCAAATAAACAACACATCTAGCACAGGTAAGTTTCACACTGATGATTATGCGCCATATTTAAAATAAAAAACTTGATTATCAAACGGTATTAGCTTAATAGAAATAGGAGTATATTATATACAGAATATTATATACATATTTGTAGTTACTATTTGTTTTAATTTCAAGTTTTAATTTCTTCCGTTACATTTAAAATCCTTATTAACTTGATAACGACTGCACTATGTATAAAAAATGTTTCCGGAAACTCACCCGTAAGAGATTTAGAGGAATACCAACTCTTGTCAACTGCATCAATCTTTCCTCTTTCTTGATTATCAATACTAAGTTGTTCGTCAGGACTGATGTTTTTATCCATTTGTCCAGGCAGAGATATTTTAAATTGGGTAGATAACCCATTGAAAGTATCGGTGGAATCTTCTTGGAACACTTTTGTTTGTCGAATAATATTTTGCTTGTAACAAGTATCACTGTTGCTACAGTTATAAATATATTGTTTTTGTGATTGGATCCGCGAACAAAAATCAATTTTCGAGATGACATTTTCGTTGGGTTTCTTTATAACGGTTACAGTGGTATCTGCATAAGTGATTGTTTTTCTTGCATGAGAGATGTCTGTTATAGCGTCACTATTATGATTTACAACTTCATTCGTTGAATGATTAGTAACATTGTTTTCACTGGATGTATCGGTAATTGTACCTTCAACAGTATTTGTGATTATCTTATTTACTGCAGTTATGTCGTGGTGGTTGAGTATATGCGATAGATTACTTGCTGAGTGAGAGTTCATAGTTTGTTCTTGCGTACCAACCATTTTATTGGAGTGGGCATAGATTATGATTAAAAAAGCTAATATTGAAAATGCGAAGATTTTAAAATTTAAAATATGAAGCTTCCTATATAATTTAGCGTTGATGTATATTGCTTAGTTCTTCAATCACCTTTTATGTTTGTCTATTATTTGAAACAAGATAGATTTAATGACAAAAAAATTTACGGAATACTCTTTATATAGGTGACGCTATTGCAGAAGTCATGAACATTTTTTCAGAAAAAGATTAATTTTGCCAATTTTAAAATATTCCTGTCTTTTTGGATGTGAATCTTTGCAATTATCATTAGTTTCTGATAATTCCCTATCTGTTTCAAACAAATATTTCAGAATACAGGTCGTACTTTCTTTAAACTTAAAAACATCTATACTAGTCACTATACCTTTGAAAGCAACCCAAATATTACATTTTATACCACAAGATTGTTTGATTTATTGTTTTTGGACGCCGCTTTTTCTCTCTCTTTCATCTGAAGAAGTTATATAAAGTCAACGACAAATCAGCTTAAATAGCGTTCTTTATTTCCCTGATTGTTATTATTTACATACTGTAACATGTATTTCATTCAAGTTACTAGCCAATCAACTTCTGTGTTTGACATCTCACTTTTCGTAATTTATTGAATTTCACATTTTTTCGCATTATTCCTTGTTTATGGAATCGGCAGTACAATTAGTACAAGTGTGTAAGTTTTGAATTTACAACTGACGCTTATAGTTTGTACATTGAGATAGTTTATTTTCTTCAGCTGTCCTAATTTGTGTAGAAATAAATATAAACTTTCGCAAGCAATTAGATCAGTAATTTGACTCTTCAAAATATAGATGTTAATACGCGACGAATTTCATTATAATGCTGACCTGAAAATGTATGTAAAAGTTTACTTCGTAAGTTATAATATGCAAATATGTTTATCATAAAAACAAGAAAAACATTAACGTCGAATGCACCGAAACTAAGATACTCTTAACAAATTCAAAAAAATCCTAACAAAAACTCGATTTGATTAGTCAGTTTATATGACAGTTGGATGCTAAAATGATCCGTTCTGAACAATATTTTCGGAGATTGCAGCTTGCCTTGGGAAATAGCGCACGCCAAATTTTATTTATATTTAGATTTTATCTCGTCTGTTTTAGTAAGTTTTTCTTACTGAGGGACAACTTCGTGTAAACACAGCGAGACGGATATGGCTAAATCGACTCAGCGCGTTGTTGATCATTTATATATAATATATTTTTTTATAGGGTTTCCAGTGTCTCCTTTAGGGTATTACAAACTTCGTGACAAACTTAATATACCTTGCTCAGAGTATAAATGGGGGTTTGTTGAGTGAGTATAAATCCCCTACAAGTACGTAAATATAATTTAATAAATGTATAGTTATGACAACCATTTCATCATTCGTAACCAAAAAAATATCATACTTCGTACTATTTACAATTTTATTTGTTGAATATAATATTAATATACATTGACTTTACATCGAAAGATTATTTTTTATCAAAGCTTCTATAACTTTATTGGAGTTACTTCCTAATGTTCCATTTAGTCAAAATAACTAGTACTAACAACAGAAAAATGCAATCAAGTTGTAACAATGCAACGGGCTCTTAAGTATGGTTTTTTGTCGTCTTCCTTTTTAACTACATGAATATTTATTCAAACTGTTCGATGATTTTGCAGAGTAGTGTAATTTCATTTTTTCCATTGTTTTGCTAACCTTGGTTGCTTCACTTCAAATATTAAACAAATTGAAGAATAATAAAAAAACAATAAAGCTAATTAAATTAAATGTTTATTGTTCGCTTGAATTGTTCATACAATTGAGAATTTTTCCTTTCTACTTAAAAACTGTGGTTTCGAACTAAAAATTGTCCCCTTCAAAGTAATCCCCCTCAGATGTAATACACTTGTACCAGTGTTTTTTCAATCCTCGAAAAAGTTCTAATATGAAATGAACTTTTTGGTACATATGTCCTTGAGCTCTCTCAGTATTTGATTTGTAATACCATATGCTGACGAACTATGTAATATTATCCTATAGTACATCTGGTATTGGACTAAAATTAATAGACATGCCATCTAGTAATACATATTTTATTCTGATTTTATTTCTGTATATTCATCGCTTATATATTATTTTAGGATCTATATTATTTAAATACATTTATGAGAATCTCTGTATATTTGTATTCATTATTATATGACATCTGGTTGTTTTGAAAGAAACAACTCAATGCATCTGCGTTCGTATGTTTTTAATATATCATTTGATATAGTACATAAGTTTCTCAAGAGTAAAACCTTATTTATAATTTTGTTCTTGGGTATACCATTTTACCAATGTATACAATTTTAATAGACAGAGTTACATATTTATACTCTCGCAACAAAGTTGCTAAAGAGAGTATTATAGTTTTGTTCACATAACGGTTGTTTGTAAGTCCTAAAACTAAAAGAGTTAGATATAGGGTTATATATACCAAAGTGATCAGGGTGACGAGTAGAGTTGAAAT